ATTCTGGGAGTTGAAGTCCACAAGTCTTAAAGTTGCTAAGGTTGGACACCCCTGCTCTAAGCTAAACAGAGACAAACCTTGGAAGAAGGCAGTGCCAACCATTTCACAATATTGCCGAGAAAATTATGGTTATTACCAGAAGTCAACATGGGTTTGTTTTTAAGAACTGGCAGAGGTAATATAAAGGAGTCCTGATTAAAGAAATATCCTGACAGGTAAAGGGAGAGAGACATCATGAGTTAAGCAGGGAAAGCAATCTATGGAATGATGATATCCTTACAATCAGACCAGAGAGTTGCTACATGTTGTTCTTCAAAAGCTTACTTTTCTACTTCCTTGGTCTAAGGCTGATTTTCATCAGAAAAATGTTGGCACTCAGCCTACTACTTCACCAAATCCACCATCTCTTATTTATATCTAGGTTGAGTAAGATTCAAGGTCCTCGCTGGATAGTTTTATATTTATAAAATCAAGAATAAAATGGAATCTTACTGGGAAAACAATGATCAACTCATACGTTATGTGGAAGCCTAAAAGCTGGACAATGTTGGTGAGAATGAATCAATTGAAGTGATGAAGAAGCTAGAATGGGAAAGGATAATGGATTTTTATTATTGCTGATGATGCTTGTATTCCAATTCGTTTGGAACAGTGAGGCCAAATCTAACCAACGTAAGTTCACCAATATGCCGACAGCGCCTTCTCTAAGATACTTCTTCCAATATGATGATGGTGATGATGATGAAGAAGAAGATGATGCTTTCCAGGCCTTAATTTATCTTCTAGAACTGGTTGCAAAAGATTTCTCCCAGTCCCAGCACATTTCTCCCTCTGCTTGTCTTTCCCTCCTTCTAGATAACACAGGAAAAGGAAGAATTGAGGACACCCAAGAAAAGTAATCGCTTTTGGAGACCACAGATTGGAAGACTCTACAAGCAGAGAAGACACCACCTAGAACTGATCTTAGCAGTTCTTATAAAAAAAAAAAAAAAAAACCAACCAACTCCCTGAAAGCCAAAAGTCTTTTCAAGATTTCTCCCCCAGTTTCAAAGACTCTTCCAGACTCGCCTCCTTTTCAGATACTTTCCTATGATGAAGTGGCATCAAGGCTGGCTTTTCTTCTTTGTCCTGTACTTGTTAAGTAGTCATGAAGACTTAGATAAATGCATGAGAGAATCCATGTGTAGCTCTGGACTAGGAACTGAAGTGTCATCTTCTGCTTTGTTGCTAACTTCATCTGAAACAATTTGTTCCATTAAATTTGCTTCTTCTGCCAGCAAAAACAGCAGCCATGCAGTTAAGTGTCACAGAGTTGAATAGTGACTCTTCTTGGAATAGAGCTGCTGTCCACAACAGCTTATTGCTCCATACATTTTTTTGGTCTGTGGAGGAGCAAAAAAGGATATTAAATTTGACCCTGTAGTCTCATTGCTGGATCTTTGTTCCTGAGCAATGTATTCATTCCCCAATATTATTTTTTTTAAAAAATGTTAAAGTTTATTATAATTTAAAATACAAACAACATTTTAAAACATTAGAAAGAAAGGAAGAGGGAGAAAGAGGGAAAGAAAAAAGAAAGAACAAGGAAAGGAAGAGGGAGGGAGGGAGGGAGGAAGGAAGGAAATAAAGTACTGACTTCCAGTTTTTTTCAGTGCAATAGAATACAAAAAAAGTTTCAGTCTACAACATGAGTGTCAGACTTGCTGTGTCTCTTGCCATCATGTGATGTATCACAACATTTTTCCCTTTGCAGAGCTGGGGTGGGCGTGGTTTGTGCATGATACATCCGGCCCATGGGCTGCCAGTTTGACATCCCTGATCATACCTTTCTATAACAACTAAAATCACTGTAATCATCAAAACCTAAAATTAGAGGGTTTTTTTTTCATTTTTTAATTAAAAACAGAAATTGTTGTGGTTAGCTGGCCGCAGGTGCGGACAGCTGAGGAGAGCGAGGACTTAGATGAGGGGCCAGGACCATTAGGGAGTGGACTGCTGCCTTCAGAGATTGTGGGGCCTGGCAGCAGCAATGAGGAGGTTCCCGAGGAGCCTGTGCCAAGTGTGCATGCGTGCAGGGCTGCTCACAGGAAAGAGCAGCTGCAACAGCATGGGCAATTCTGGAGTAAGACTGCAAGGTCTTGCAAGGTCTCCCTCCTTCAAGAAGATAAAAGACAGCTGTTCTTTGTAGGAAGCAAAAATGTTTTGAAACTCAGCCTTGTGGACATTACAGTTGATATTTGAAGACTCTTGTATCATAAACTATTTCTTATCTGTTGTTTTTGGCAGTCTTGCAAAAAGTTGGCAAGGCTCTTTCTTGTCGGAACTAATTAGTTGGAAGCAGCCTTTTATCTGTGAAGAAACAGGATTCTTAGCTGAAAGATAAAAAGGTTGTGCTGCTACCTTTGTCTTGTGTTTGCTCTTTTGGAACCAGGGTTGGGTCAGAACAAAAATGGCTTCCAATTGGAAACAAGACTAGAAATTTTTTGTCTTTTAATTAACATAGTCAATTTTGCTGTCTCTGCCAGCTCCATCACTTCACTATCACCGTCCATTGTAGAAATTAATGTATCTTCCCATCTTTGTGCATATAATTTTTTGCTGCTGTTAACATATATTAAGTTTCAAATTTTCATTCAGGTTTGTCCATCAAACCTAAGAGGAAAAAATTAGGGGTTCATTGTTATATCTAAAAATATTCTGAATTAATGTAAAAATCTGATCCCAATTTTTCTTTGCTTTGTCATAAGTCCAACAGAGATGATAGACAGAACCCTCAATGGGAAAACATGTGGACAAATGGATTTAAATGCACACTGAATTACTCTCATGCCCCAATCTTGTTATAATTCAGGATTTTCCTTCTTAAAGCATTGGCTACTATTGATAGGACCTACTAGTGAGAAAATGCACAATGTTTTGCCTTGGACTATCACAAGATGTGGCTAGGAGAAGAATAAGAGGTGCAGTTAACATTTCCGTATTAATATCTTGCCCTGCATATCTGGGCAAAAATCAAAGAAGTAAGAATTACACAGATTGCATTAAAGTAACTTTAATGTTTGTTTGAGATAAATACAGTATGTTTGTGTTTTTTGTATTTAAGCACTTGCAACCATACATTTTAGCAATATACTTCTAAAATTGCAGGAATCAAATTGGTTCAATACATCCTCTGTAATATTAAGCTGCTATTTGTCAGTGTGTTCTTTTGTATCTTCCTTGCAGCCATTGCAAACAATGCAGCTTGTTTTGTTAAAACCTCATGTCCATCAGACAACAAAAAATAGATTTTTTTTTCCCTTCTAAACTAGAGTAACAAGGGCCTAATTAATCTAGCTCTAAATTCCTGATAAAGTTTACTATGAAATAAGTAATGGTCAGCTCTTCCACTTGTAAGGGATTACAAATGCATAAAAGGTGTGTAGTTCATAATCCTTTGTAACTTCGATCCAGATAGGCTGTTGGCAATACAGAATCCTAGAACCAAATTCTAAGGAATCCTCAGTCTCCTTTATAAGGAGTTAAGTCCATTAAGGCAGAGAATCTCTTTTGAATCCTTTGAACTGCCTCTTAGCAGATTTCTTCCCACTTGGGCTGAGCAGCCATTTATGAGATAAGCCATCAATTCTTTTGTCTGCTGTTCTCTGTTCTTTCTTCTGTTCCTTTTCAGCCTTCCTGTAATCTCTTATCATCAACTTATTTTATTCGGTAAATGCTTTCAGTTTTGAAGTCTAAGCAAGCACCTAATTTTATCTATCAGTCTTCATCATAAAACTCATCAAGTGCTTGTCTGAAAAATCTGTCCTGGGAAAGATTCCCCACCACCACCAAAAGGGCCAAGAAGAACATAGTTATGTTCATAGATATATTGTGTAGAGAAGGAGTGGCAGAGGTGGAGTCAGAAGAGGAAGCAGCATAGAGGAGTCTCTATATAGCAGCAACCTGGTCAGATCCGGACCGCAAAATTGAAGTTCATACACCTTAAAACTGCTGAGGTTGAGAAACACTATCATAAACTATGGTGTGCATGGATTGAAAAAATCTGGTTTATATTATGTTGGTCACAGGATTTTCCTGCCTGTTTTTCACCCCTTTCCTTCTCATGGTGCACGATGTGGTTATTGGTAGGAACCTGCTGAGTTGCATTGTTCTTCTTTAAAAGAAAAATACATTGTAGAACTGACACAGTTGCTCATCTAGTCATCCTATTGTTCATTCAGCTCAAGTTAAGTTTGAGAAGAAGCTTCATGAGGGATTTGGGAGCTAGAGGGGATGGAGATGATGGTGGTTGGAACTGAAAGAGGACATCTTGAATTCCCGCCCTTACTCAATTCTTCATGAAAGGACTTTTCCTTGTGCTTCTTTGTGACAGTGGAAGGCCAATGGCTGGACTGGGGATCTTGGAGCCGGTGCTCAGTGACATGTTCCAATGGGACTCAGCAACGGACCCGTAAATGCAGTGTCTTGGCTCATGGCTTGGCAGAGTGCAAAGGAGCGCATGCTGATGCCAGAGAGTGTTACAATCCAGAATGTTCAGGTAAGGGAGCCATCTTTATTCATTGCCTTCAAAAAAACTAGGCAAAGGTCTGTGATAAACCCAGCACAATGGTAGATGGATGTGACCAGCTTGGATATGTACATCCCCACCCCACCCCATGCAGTGCAGCAAGATTGAAGAAGCATGAATTACAGACTGCAGAAAGGTATCACTAATGATTTTTTGTTTTTCATTCTGTTGTGTCTAATTCTTGGAGAAGGGTCTAGAATAACTCACCATGGCCAACTTTCCATGGCCATCAAACCAAAGTTGACTCACTCCAGCTGGCTCACCATGGTCCCTATGGAACAATTCAACGCAGGATAACTCAAGAGAGAGAGAAGTGAATTGCAGTGGGCCTTCTCTTGATTTAGGTTTCCCTTGTTAGAAGTCCTCAAGGCTGGGATGAGCCAGAGCATGTCCTCTTGTCCCTCTCTTGAGTTATCTCACATTGAATTGTCCAGGGGCAAGTTGGCCATGGCAAGTTGTCCTGCAGCAAGTCTGTTGGGATGAGTCAGCCATAGCGAGTTGTCCCATTCCACTTGGAGGCTGCCTGCAGTTTTCTGGGCAAGATTTTCAGAAGGGGTTTGCCATTGCCTGCTTTCTAGGACTGAGAGAAACTGACTAGCCAAGGGGGTTTCATGCCTATGGTAGGATTAGAAGTCATGATCTCCTAGTTTCTAGCCTGATACATCACTGTGATACCAAGCTGGTTCTCATGTCTGATGCTAGTCTTGGATAAATACAGCACCTTGGAAACTGCAAGAGGACTTTTTCAGCCCTCATTTAGAGTGAGAACATTGAGATGGAATTTCTTTCAATGGTTTGAAAAGTTTCTTCATATCTGGGCCAAGTTGCTTCTTATGAGATAAATTGCCAATGGACTGTTGATGTTTAGTCTCCTTTCTCTTCCTTTCTTCATCTCTTCCTAGTTTCTCACAGTAGAAATCATCCATCAATTTGTGGGAAAACCTGTTATTCAGGAAATGTCACTAGGCACAAACACTCAAGTGTTTAAAGCAGACACCTCATGGTTTGTCCCATGTCAAAGCAGCCATCAGCACTTATCTGGGTAGACTTAGACTTAGAATAACTTTATTGTCACTTTAAATGTACACTAATCAGCATACATTAACATGAAATTTCATTGCATACAGCTCTGAAAGGGTCACTATGTCCAATATACACTACATAAACATGACAAAATAAATAAAGAAATACAAAATTATGCATATACCCACATATATGAGCCTCTGTGGTGCAGTGGTTAGAGTGCAGTGCTGCAAGCTACTTCTATTGCAGCCAGCTGCCTACAATTTGGCAGTTCAAACCCCATCAGGCTCCAGGTTGACTCAGCCTTCCATCTTTCCAAGGTTGGAAGTTCAGATGTATACATGTACATGGCAAGCAAAACTAATCTTGTGACTTTACCAGACGGAGGGCCTAAGGAACAAAATCTGTTACAGAATCTGGTAGTCCTGCTAGAAATACTTCAAAACTCCTTCCCAGAGAGGAGCAAGGTGCACAGTGCCCTTTTAGGCAGGAAAGAAGTAGAATGTCCAGGCCATTAATATAGCTAGTTGGCAAACGCTGACAGTATGAAACCAGTGTACAGGAGGGAGGTTCCCTGGGGAAGATGCAAACGTGTCAAAAGCTGGAAGTGTCAGATGTGCCCGTTGAGATCACACATACACAAAAGGGATGGGGCTTTGATTGACCAGCATGTTGAATATTTTGACCCACCCCTTCCTTCTAAGACTAAGCATCTGATAAATATTTGATTTCCATTTTCTGGACCTGTTGCTCTTTAATTACAAGCTTACCATTTCTTCTTCACTGCCTGAGGTGATCTATATCTCTTGGAAAAGTCTGAGGTTGCTGAGTTCAACAAATAATTTTTGAACAACTCGTTCCCACTGTCTCATTGATCTCAAGAACTTGATGAGGAAAATGAATCCTTCAGTCAAGCAAAAGCAGCGATTTATTTAGGGTTTTGTTTTTTGTTTTTTTAAAAAAGTGCTACCAAGCTTATTTGCCAGCTTGGCCTGCAGATATTTTTTTTAAAACAAACAAACAAAGCAACTGAGATGAAACAGCAGAAAAAGAGATAGCATTTAGCTAGTATTTTAAATTCACCGATGAAAGTTGAATAGAATTTCTTTTTATTTGTTTCACTTTTATCAAGCGTTTAATTTAATGAGCTCAAGTGAGCATGGCACCAGTTCTTGTTTTACTCTCACAACAACAACAGGTATGAGATAGGTCAGTGTGATGGAAAAAAAGAATGCTTGGCCCAAAGACACCCATCTGGTGGTTGAGTTTAGGCCAATGATATGCAAAGTATCAAATCTGAATTCTTTGACATGCAAAACCGCCTTGTTCTGACCCCAGAACAGTTGCTTCAGTGGGGAAAAAAATCTCTTGGTGATTTAAAACAAATTCATTTGATTAGTGTGGAGGTGTTTTGTGATAGAAATAAAACTGGCTCCTAAGTGGAGCTGTCCATTTTGAGAGATTTTTTTTTAAAAAAATTGAAACTCTTACCGATGCACTCAGAATAACTTTCATGCTCAATCTAAGATGTTTCAAATTCAAGATGTTTTGCACCAGACGTGGTTTTCAGCAGGTTCTGACCAGTTCTGGAGAACTGGTAGGGGAAAATTTGAGTAGTTTGGAGAACCGGCAAAAAACCCCTGTGAGGGGCCCTGCCCCCATCTCTTCTCTGCTTCCCATCGAGTCCCAGCTGATCGGCTGGGTCTTCTTTGGTTGCCCTACACAGTAGAACGGAGCTGGAAAGCAGGTTAGTCGGGTAGGGAGGGAAGGGGGATTTTGCAGTAACCATCCCCTGCCATGCCCACCAAGCCACACCCACAGAACTGGTAGTAAAAAAAAATTGAATCCCACCACTGCTTTGCACTCTCCACTCAGCGCTATCAAAGTCCAACAGTTGCCAATAGACAAATATGTTATATATATACATGGATAGATATTATTTGAGGGGCATGATGGCTAAGTGTTTAAAGATGCTGAGCTTGTTGGGAAGCTGACAGCCTGGGTTTGAGACCCAAGCTACGTGCAATGAGGTGAGCTCCCATTCTATGTCCCAGCTCCTGCCCGCCTAGCAGTTTGAAAGCATGCAAATGTGAGTAGATGAATAGGTGCCACTTTGGTGGGAAGGTAACAGCATTCCGTGTGCCTGTGGCATATATTCATGCTAGCCACAAGACCTCTTAAATTGTCTTTGGTCAGCACTGGCTCCCTCGGTCAAGAAATGGAGATGAACATCATGCCCTGGAATTGGTCATGACTGACAGGGAAACCTTTGATTTTTCAATATTATTTGAGGTCAACCTATGAACTCAATTGAGCCCAAAATTTCTGTTGCTAAGTGAGATAGTTGTTAAGTGAGTTTTGTCCCATTTTATGAACTTTCTTGCCATAGTTGTTGGGTGATTCACTGCAGCTGCTAAGTCAATATGGCTTCCCCATTGACTTTGCTTGTCAGAAGGTCACAATAGGTGATCAGATGATCCCAGGATACTGCATTCATCATAAATATGAGTCAATTCCAAGCATCTTAATTTTTGATCATGCGACCATGGGGGTGCTACAACAGTTGTAAGTGTGAAAAAATGGTCATGAATCACTTTTTTCAGGGCCATTGTAACTTCAAACAGTCACTAAACGAACTGTTATAAGTTGAGAACTACCTGTATTATATTAAGCAGAAGCCATCTTTGCTGAATGCCACATCTGAAGGCAGAATAGCTGCCCAGTGAGACAGATTTCAACTCTGCCATGAAATGTTTCCATGACTGAAACCCAGCCATGCTTTGATCCTTGGAAGTCTTCTGCCAAGGAGTGGCCATGATGTGGGACCTGAAGTCTTCCTTGCTGCATTAGGAATACCTGGAGAATTACTGCTGACCTAGATGGTAGCCAGATGAGAAGAAGGTGGTCTTCAAGGACCTCATAATCCTGACTCCTTTCCTTGGCCAAACAATACAACTCTCAGCTTTTAAGAACCCAATTATTTATTTATTGGAATTGGTCAAACCAAAATGAGAACAAGAATAAGAGAATGAAAATACAATGAGAAGAATGATAGGCATGTTAGTGCACTTACGCACGCCCCCTCTCCTGACCTTTTGAGTATGAAGTAAGGCCCACGGAAGTCAATTTGTGACTGAAACTGTGAAAATTTGTAGGTGAGACAACTGAATCAGGTAGGGCATTCCAGACTTTTGACAACACTATTACAGAAATCATGTTTTTTTACAGTCAAGTTTAGAACGATTTACATGGAGTTTTATAGGGGTTGTTCGTATATGTATTATTGCGATTAAAATAGAAAAAGTCATTTACAGGTAAACCATTACTACATATGATTTTTTTATGCAATACCTTTCTAATTATAAATTGTGTCCCAGAATCTTGGGCTGATACTATCCAAATCCCAGGCTACAGGCATAGTTGACATCCTCCTGTCTTCTGCCAATCAGTTTGTAGCAACAGCTCTTCTTTGTAAAATCACAGCTCCTAATGCAGCAGGTTTGAAGATGACAGCCATCAGGCAGTAGTGGCAGATGCCCTTGGGTTGCTTCTGCCTCCCTTCTCCCCATCTTTCCTCAGAATCAAGTTTCATTTGCCAGTTTTTTACTAAGAGTAACAGCTGGGTATGGAGATGGTCAGACAGCATTTTAGTTAGTATTCCTTAGGTCAGTATTTCTCAATCACCACCACTTTAATAGTTGTGGACTTCAACTCCCAGAATTTCCCAACCAGCACAATTGGCTGGGGAATTCTGGGAGTTGAAGTCCACAACTATTAAAGTGGTGGAGGAACACGGCTTAAAGTGGTGGAGGAACACTGCTTTAGTTCTTTCTCTCTGATGCTCAGCCAGTGTTTGACTACTGCGATTCATCTTTTTTGAGATTACTTAGTATGTTTATGTGGGCTCTCCTTAATTCTACAAGATAAATCATTGTGTCTTCCTATTT